GTCGCGGGCGAAAACTAGTTTGAAATAAATGACTTTAAGACAACAATGATCGCTCGATAAATTTTAAATATACTATTAAATCGGTCTGTCCGTCAGTTTGATGTAGTGGTCACCTAACTAAGTTTAGTTCTTATTATTCTACAAATAGAATATAATTGTATATTTGTATTCATGAGTATGATTGATTGTATTGTTCTGGGTGTTTTGTATAATATTACGTATGAATTCATTAAAAATGGATTTAAGAATCTATCACTTGTCTAATACACATAATACAAGCTCTCCTTAGCTTAGGACTAGATGGCACTGTGTAAATTGTCCTGCGTTATTATAGATACATATAGATATAAATTGAAATAATAGGGATATATATATTGTAATTTACTAACATAGTTTATAAATTGTTATTTAACATAATATGTATGTATATCCGAAATAAATATTATTTTTATTATTATAATACCGCAGCCCCGTACAACAAAAAAGGTACTCGCACGGTGTTGTGTATGGGGTTTATAGTTCCCATTACAAATAATTCGCTAGATCCTTATAACCCGTATTATGACTAGCATTAATGAACTAATACTGCCTATGGAAGTTCAGATAAACACGCGATATCCACAAATATATCTCACTTCATCTGGATTATAGACTGGCGATATAATAGCAGTTATTATAACGTTTAATTGGATATCACAGTTTGAGACAGCTCCACCGAATTAGAGAAATCATAACTATCTTAAATGAATCTTGTTGAACACAGATTAGAGTTTAGATTGCTTTGATGTTGGAAAACGTTTTAATAATTCGGCAGTTCTATTTGGTAACTTGTTCATTAAACGACTTAAAATCGATACTATTTAATTGATACTTTGCTAATGGATGGCCTGAATGGTTAGTGTGAGATGATGTACTACTTACGGCGTCAACTGTAATAAATCGGATCTTCGATTGCAAATGAAGGAAGAAGCAGCGATAAGAGGATGGGTGACCATTGACCGCTTCATTTCGCTTCCCGATTCGACGCCGTAATCATGTATAAAATGATTTCTTAATATTTTATTGGTTATCCTACGGCGTCAATTGTAATAAATCGGATCTTCGCGGGTACATGTAAATGATGAAGAAGCGGGGATGGGTGACCGTTGATCGCTTCCTGCCGTTTACCGATTCGACGTCGTGATCACGCACAAAACGTAGAAAATATTTAATCCGTTACGTACCTTTAAAATGCTAAAACTGTAAATTACATCAATATACTAAAATCTATACCTAGTACAACGATAATGAAATCATAAGAGATGACTGGATCAGAGACCTTACACAAGCAGATAGGAGATTCCTTTTATTTTACAAGTCGACCGCGCGATATCGTCGGCAGGAATTTTACAAAAACGAAGATAATGTGACATCTCCGTTATTGTTAAATTCCTTATTATATAGCTCTACCACTATCTAGTAGTAGTAGATTTAAATATAAAATAATGATAAATAAGTTAGTAAATATAATTATTATCTTAACATGTCAGCACCATCTAGTATGTTTTTTTTGAGAGATGATAATCGAATGGTGCCTACACCTACGCTAAGGGTATACGCTGGCGGGACACCTGTGGAGGATGATAATCATCATCTTGATAGGCTAACTGATCTGATCAGGTCAGTTAGCCTATCACGACAAATTCAACACGAATTTAACATGATGATTTCCAGGGGGAACCGCGTGGAGGTCACGCTGACGTAGCACATATAAATAGTTATTATAAATGAAAATAAGAGAGATGTAATAAACGTCTATAAGCCGTTTATTATAACAGAGCGCTTTGACATAAGTAAATAAATCAGAATGTATATAAAGAACATATTTTGAATATGGATAATATAAAACTGCCAGTCATTCTCATTGTAGGTCTAACAGTATCATACAATTTTAACGTCTACATTTTCTAAAAAAAAAAACTGTAATTGTCCCTAAAAGGTAAATTTGTGCGAGTCTAATCCCCGTAATTCATCAGGGTAGGTACGGCTAAAATACGATTTCAGTATTTTCGTCGCAAAACTGGTTCTTATCCAAACAAATTAGCTAATTAATCCACACTCAGCTTGTCTTAGTTAGTGTTATATTTCTTCATTTATTTCGCAACACCGTTATTTCATTATTTCAAAAAATGCATAAATAACGTGACCGTATTTACTTACTTAAAACTAGCTTCTAATCTCATCTATCTAGTATTGACCGTGGTATAATTAACCTATTATATTATTCTCTATTTCCAATGCTATATAAGCCACATTTTATCAAGATTTGTTAAGCCATCATAGCAATAAAGAATAACAAATAAACGAACTTTCTCATTTATAATGTTAGTAAGTATTTTTGTCCCACCTTCCTGCCAGTAGTAGATCCTTACCATATTTGTCATTTTAAATATATGTATATATAAATTCAAAATGATTTATACTTAGAGGACATTTCTTGCTACTTAGGCATATGCTATACTTATGTAATTTTTTTATCACTATTTTTCTTCCTACTGTCCATGACTATTATTGCTACAGTTGAAAACAACTGGCAAGAAATACCCATTCTGGGTATATTAACATTATATGTTTCTTTATTTAGAATTTTTTTACACTTATATTTACAGAGAGCATATTATTACGAGTAACATCTTTACAGAGTGTAAAAAAAGTAGCTTTGGCTGTTTATACGCTAAGATTTTTTAAAGTATGCAACGGATTTTTCGGCTATAGATAGATGAATTTAAAAGCAAGATTTACATGTAGGTAGCCTGTAGTATAGACTAATCATAATCGTTTTATTATTAATCCGGACTTGTCGCTAGTATTCAATATTAAAAGTAATTATAAAAGACAAAGGTAATTTCAAGTTGTGTAAAAAATAGTAGACGATTGCAAATTAATATTTTTTCACTTAATGAGTCATTGACCCATTTTAGTAATCGAATACTTGTTAAGTCTACAATTTCAAATTGAATTGAGTTGTTTGATTTAATGGAGAGATTTTTATGAGTACAAACCTTTTTCTTGAGTTTCCGTCTCCTATTAAATGTTGCGACATTTGACAATCGGGGAGGTAGCGTTCCAATTATTGCCTGAAGGGGACTTTATTGTTCTGATCTGATCCCTTTGGTGAATTAAAAAAGATAGGCCGTTCTAAATTTGATTATCAGATTTTTTTAAATCTTACAATTTTTTGCGGTGTGTTATGCGAAATCTGTTATTGTTTTAAAAGATTGTATTTTGTTTTTGTCCTCTGTTATTTTTTTTATGAATGTTCTTGGAACAATCTTTTATTTTTAACTTGGGATTGCGATCATTTGATACTTTTTCGGATGACCGCTAGTTATCCAACTGTAAAAAAGGAGGATTATGACTCTCGCCTATATATTTCTTTGTAATTATGCATGTTAGTATATGTAGGTAAATTAATATCTCAGAGATCTTTAACATAACGTAAGGCTTAAACGGAATGATGAATATTAATATATCAGATAATCAGACTGAAACACCGATACGACGTGCGTAACAAAACAATGTAGGGCGACCATGATTTATCAAAATGTTGCAAATTATGTATAATTTATGATTTTATGATTTTTCATTGTTGTTTAGTATGTGCACACATTATATAAAAGAGGTAAAAATATTATCTCCCTAGAATGATGAAAGAAGCTAATAAAATGTATATTATTTAATATCAAAATTTTAATAGACAGTGTGATTTCATTAAAGTAGGCAACATTTTAAATCCAGTGTTAGATATACTTAAAAATGAGGGGAAAACTTGGTATGCTTTAAAAAGTCGAAGTGTTACCGTGAGTGTGTTTTGTCGCGACTGCCAAGTGTTTTCCAGTAGTAATGGTGTGATGATGTACGTAGAAAAAGACTAAGAAAGCGGATAGCCAGATTGGTCTAATAGTAATTGTTTTTTTATTACATCTACCGCCATCTCCAGCCGACCTGTGACCGGGCGTTTGTAACAACGTCCAAATATCGGGTCCTATTTGTGCCTACACTTGTAATATTTCTGTCAACACTTGAGACCCTTCCATTAGTAGCTCTCCACATAACATAGATTTAAGTTTAGGATAAAGTCAGTGTACGTCCCAACTCTGCGTCGAATGTACGCGTTACTAATAAGCCATGTAGCACACTACCAAATAAACTTACTAATGTACAATTATTTCACCGGTAGACTCACTAGCTAGATACTACAATAAACAAATATATTATGTAGCGACACCTCCTCACACCATATATAACGAATGACGAGGTGATTACCACCGCACTACACCATTAAATAATATTATCACGGTCAATATCTCGTTTATATAAAAAGAAAGAAAGAAAGAAGGAAAGAAACAGAGAGAGAGAGAGAGAAAGAGAAAGAAAGAAAGAAAGAAAGAAAAATATTTTATTCAGTGCAATGTAAAAAATACAATATAAACAACAAACGAAAAAAAAGGAGCAAATATATCGAGTACATTTTAATATGACACCAAAGTTAGGGGCAATATATGATGCTGAAATTGGCCCTGATTTTACTACACACGTGGCGATCTTAAAAGACATCTACATTTTCGTACAAAGACGTTCTATATTTTTAAAGAAAGATTTATATCTACTTATTTCTATATCTATAATATATTGTCTGTAGGACTTTACTTTGAAAAGAAATACTTAGACAAATTTTATTACTATCGTGTTTAGTTTTTTTTCGGACTACTCTAATGATGTTGGCCGCAGCGGGCCTTTACAGCTTCATCGGACGATAAGGGGCGAGTGCGGATGGCACTCCAAACCCGCAGGAGGACTTATAGAGCGGCTGAAGGCCAACTCCCGCCTGACGGATACGAATTTAGTCTGCGGGCTCCGCTGGGAATTTTTGTTGTTGTTTTTTTGGTGTAGTAAAATCAGTATTTAAATATTCAATGCCGTTGAAAATATAAATAACTATAAATAAAACGTTGTTACAGATCCCTCAAAACTAATCAAAAGAAAGAAGTCGACGGATGATGTACGTTCTCCACTTGGCGGAGAAGGCTCTATGACTAGTGAAGAAGGTGAAGAGCCAGGAGTTGGCAGACGAAAGAAAGCCAGGACAACGTTCACGGGCAGGCAGATTTTCGAACTGGAGAAGTTATTTGAAGTGAAGAAGTATTTATCTTCTGGAGAAAGAGCTGATATGGCTAAACTGCTGAATGTAACTGAAACTCAGGTAAGTGAATATTGTTTCAATTAATAATTATCACAATACATAATAGAGTCGTTTGTGTAGGTAACTGAGTCTATCTACCTATATTAGTCGTCAAGCAGCTTTCTTTGTAAGCTGTGTTTCGGTTATATGGTGAGATTAGGTAGTAAATTACAAAATAAGAATCATAACGACTTAGTCTTAATTAACGTCACAGGATAACGTGATATCTTTGGTGGTCTTCATGTATATGACGACATACAGACAACGGTTACCACTTACCATCAGTTGGGACGTCAGCTTTTGCCATTTCAATTTAATAAAGTAAAACAGCTATTTTCTAAAGTAATGTAACACTGTAATATAATTATTACGTAGTATAAGTAACTATTTAAAGTAAAAACTAGTAAACGGAATAACAAAACTAATGCCAACAGAGTAAAAAAAAGAAGTTCAGATATAACGTAATTTTATTTCATAAATCGTTTGATGAAAAAATGACATAACTTTTGAAATATGTAATTCAAACAAATTTAGATACATCGTACTTTCTTATCATTAAAAAAGCCTACTGAATAAGTACTATATATTATATATCTGCACAAGTAGGTAATTAAAAAAAACAAGATTGCCACAAATTAATCCCGTATAATACGTTTACAACAATAATTGTTACACAAACATACTGGCTAGACTTTGTTGACGTCCTGTTTTATCGTGTCGTCTTTTCTTTATATTACTTCAATATAAAATAATATATATTTTTCCAAGAAGTCTTTTATTTAGAGAAAGAAAAGAGGTAAGTTTATTATAATTATTATCTTATACTAGCTGAAACTGCGACTTTGTATCTGTATAACTGTTTTGTTTTGTAAACTGACTAAAAATGTACTAAATATTGAGTAAAGTTTACCATAATATGTTGAGTGAAAACTGCACCCAAATCTGTTGAGCCGTTTTTCAGATTAACGTTTAAAAACGTATGTGTGTACGTTTGTAAGCGTTATTTTCAAAAATGGCTAGAACATGCAAAACCTGGAACAATTATTGTTATTGGGTCTATTACATTCATAAAGTGTCTCATAAAAATATTTGACATATGTATATCATATTTTATATATATATAGTATATTATATTTATGATATTGTATAGGCGGCAAATAAGAAATAGAATAGTTTTTCTGTGAAATCTGTTTTATTTTGCAATTAAATAAACACGAAATCTTGAACAACTTTTACTGCGACAAGTCTCAAGTTAAGATGACCTTAGTTTGGGACTGTGTCTTAAGTTTGAGTTTTTATGGTTATATTATATATTTAAGGTTTCTAGTGGAAACCGGGTGGAGGTCGACCTAATTTGGTACATTTTTAGCAATGGGGTTATTAGTCCATATTACTAACAATCTCTCTACAGTTGGTTATTAGAAACGCGAACAAAACGTTTTAAACTGTAACACTCATACGATGAGCTTGTTATTCTTCATTTAGTTCAGTAGTTAGTAGTGGGTTAAATTATAAGCTTAAGCGGGCATGACTTTATATTGCTGGAAAGTACCTGTCTGGTTGTAGTTGTCATTCTATTGAAAAGTTCTTAATTTGTATTATTTATCATTGTAGTATTAAAACAATCCTCAAGATAGGTTTTGAAACGGTGCTATTACTAGCAGAATCTTATTTATTTATTGTTTTGATTATTATCGACGGTTGATCTAGCGGTTTAGCACACCGCTTTCTTGTAAGCTCTATTCCTCGCAGGGTACAAACATTACATACACCTGTACCCTGCGAGGAATAATTAATTCAGTGTTTAAGTATTTAAATCAGATGTCTAGAACCTATAACACAAGCTCTGTTTACCTTGGGACTCGATGGATTACCATGGGTACTGTCCGGGTATATTATTATTGTTGTATGTAACATATATTGTAATGTAGCTTTGACTATATATAAATCATCTACATGTACTTTAGGTACTCTTGTATTTTCCGAACGATATAAAAAATTCATCGAAGTTTTAGTTGTATTCACCGTTTTTGTGTATGCTGTAATATCCGCGTGTCGCTCGTTTCTTATACCACAGGCCAATTTTAAATGTCGTATAGCGAGATAATTATACTATCACCAAGGTGGCTGGGAGGGGACCGAGCTGTCCCCCGCGACGTGAGCGGTCGCACATGGCGTCACTAATTAAAACTATGGTACCATGTTGCCTGTTAAATTACAACGACTCAGCTCTTGTCTATGGTAAAAGAGCTTCTTGTTTATTTTGAAATTGCGAATTGTTAATTCATTACACTGTACTGCAACTGATTTGGGTAAGGTTTGGGAGGCTTGCTTTGTAACTGATTTGGATTGAAGGGTGAAACATGGCAGTAAAATTACCAAGTACAGAGATACTTTACTCCTGCGGACTGGCAATTAGTAAGAGGTACAATGCATATTTTCAGAGCCAGCTGTAATTACTTATCATTAGGTTTGTCGTAAGCTCTTTGATCTCCTATGCTGTATAAAATGTGTCCTGGTTTCGATGACCCTCAAGTTTGCTATTCCTGAGAACTATGTGACATGTATCATAACCCTGTAATTACACGCTATATTTTACGCTTCACATTAGAATACGGATTATAAAACGAGTTGTATCACAGCATAGATTGGTGAAAAAGAGGTACGCTTACGCTTATTATGTTATTACTAATTGATATCGTCTGATTTCTTTGTCAAATTTAATTAAGATCCATTGATCCGTTTAGTTAGTTAGTACATTTTTGTATTTATAACAATTTAATAAATGTAAAACTGTACACTAAACTTATGCACATTATCTTAAACACATTTATATTGATGCAGCGATGGAAAATATTTTAAAACTCCAAAAATACCAGCGCCTAATTTTACGTCCATATTGAAAAGTAATTAATTTGTCGCTAACTAACCCCCGGCACTGTAATGACTTGCCACGTGTCCCGAGAATCTCCATGTAGGAAGTCAATTATCCCCTGTGAAACTCATTAATGACATTGTCACAAAAAGTGTGAGTCCCAAAAACGTGTCATACAAAAACTGCTGGTGCAAAAAAAGTGGGCGAAAAAAGTGAGATAAAATTTGGAACTGACGTTAAAAAAAAATTTAATGATATTAATTAAACGAGGAAAGTAAATTGCCATTGAGTTCTTACCTCTTCCCTGTCCGACTAGGAATATCTACTATTTTAAGTTCTTTTCAGAATACATGAAATTTACGTTTTACAAATGTAAATATGTAGGTAATAACCATATCTTATTCTAAATTGCAGTGGGTAATATCAATTTTATAAAAGGTTTCACATAGAGGAAGTATGAAAGTGGCGCCGGTGTCGGAGAGGTTGAAGAATAATTGTCTATCGTGGCATGGGCATGGGTAAGGATATAAATGTGGATGGAGGTTATAAGGGTATAGGAAGGCCGAAAAAGAGATGGATGGACTATGTAAGATGATATGGTAAGAAAGGGAGTAAATAACGAGATGTCTGCGAACAGGGATGAATGAAAGAGAAAAATATATTACGCCGACCCTAATAAATAGGACAAGGAAAAAGCAGATGATGATAGAAGGTCTCGCATTTGTTTATATATTTCATATAGCAATTAAAAGTTAGAACATTGTATAAAATGTGACTCATGTATGACATAAATCTGAGTGAGAGTAAACAATAATTGGAAACAATTTTCTTATCAAGTCCTCATCAACTCCACCTAGCTGGTTTGCCTTGGATACTACAAATAAACTTGATACAAGAACAAAGAAAAACCTATACTTATAAGCCATTACGTTTAAATAACAATTCGCTGAATTCACTCTTTCTTCGTTTCAAACAAATATTGATCTATTCTAAACTCGCCGCTTATTTCATCTCACGATTCTAAAACACGATACTAATTGAGGATCCGTTTCTCTCAACTATAATGGCTTTTGTTACTTAAATACGATTTTAAACCTTATTCGTGTAATTTTAAATGTAGTTATCGCGTGTATTATGATGCACTCCGCAGGGATTGTGTTATACGGTCAGATTTTAAAGTGACAGAACAATTTTGCTCTGTAATTAGTTGGCCACATATAGGATCTAGTTTGTTAATATACAATATTTTGTTCCTAGTTTTAAATTTAGTAATTTACTAGTGTATATGATACAAACAAATATTATAAATTCTAACAAGGTAAACTTTAGACAAAGGCGTTTGCGTGGGTATCTATCTCTATATCGCCATCGCGAAAGTCAAAGCAAATTATTCCTTTAGGGTATCTCCTGCCACGTCAATGTTTTTATCATTATCTCTGCCATCCAGTTCGGTTAGCTAATTCAGTTGAGAAGAACTTAACTTATATTTTTTTTACCCAGTTTTAATATTATTAGCCGCCAAGTGATTTGCTTTGTTGTTGTATGTTTGGTTGTATTGTGAAATATGGTAGTGTGCCATCACATGATAGTGATATTGTTCCTAGTGCTGATATCTATAGGTTACGGTTGATATTTTCACTAGATGGGCCGTTAGCTTGTTTGCCATTCTAGTTACCATTCAATTCACCGTTTTTTTATTCATGGTAATTTATTCTTATTTTATTTATTGATCTGCACTGTGATGAATATCATTATTATTTTTTTGTATGCTATGTATCTGTTATTATTTGTATTTATATAAGTCTCTTTTTTGTATGTGTAATAGATTTGTTTGTTTAATTTTTACTTACAATTTCGTAATTGGCGCGTGAACGGAATCATCCTGTATCAGCTCATTCACACCATATGTCATTTGTTAAGTGCGGCGCAGCTTTTTTTGTAGTCCCCCGCTGTTACGATGCTCCAATATTACTGTCAACTCCCGCGCACATAGAATTGTTGGTCACAGACTCGCCACTATTTGTATAATTAAGAATTCTGTTAATACCCATAATAGGCATATGATTAATTTATCAATACAAATGTGTATCTATCTGTCTATTTGTTATCTTTTCACGACTGAAGAGCTAAAGAACGTATCTTCATT